CCCTGCCCAGCCAAAACTGCCAAAAGCTATGGAAGTGGATAAAGTCCCTGCAGTGCACCTGAAGGACGTATTAGGGAAGAGGGTCTGGATCAACCCTGCTTCTAACAAAGGCAAACCCGTCCACGGGATTGCTTTTGCTCAAGGACCTGGGTGCACCTGGTGGGTGATGAAGCAGGACAGGGAAGTCTGATGTGTGCCCCAAAAGGACTTAATTCTAGGAGATAACAGCCAATGAATTAACTTGTGTGTTGTTAATTGTTCAGTAACTGCTGGGCATAATGTAGATGGTATCAAAGAAGGGGTGGAATGTCCTGGTTGGGCTGGAACAGGGCTGGTTTCTCCCAGAGCCGGGTGGGGGCTGCAGCTGGGCAGGCAGCCAGCCCAGGCGGGGGTCACTTGGTGCAGGGCAGGCAGCAGGGCCGGGCTGGGCATGGGGCCAGGGGCAGGGGAAGTGTCCGGGGCCAGGGGCTGTAGCTGTGGGTGCCGTCCAGAGCCCGTGCAGTGAGCTCTTTCCTTTGTACCCTTTGTTATATATTGTTACCTCTATTGTTACTGCTGTTGTTTGCTGTTCCTCCTGCACTGTTGTATTAAGTTCTCCTTATCTCAGCCCACGGGGGTTTGTATTTTTCTCCCTTTTCTCCCTCCCATGCGGGAGGTGAGGCGTGAGCAAGTGGCCATGTGGTGCCCGGCTCCCGCCTCCAGCTAAATGACACCACTACAAAAAAAAATACCCAGTAAAACGACCTGGAAGAACTCTGAAGACCCATTAAACAACTCACCCTTATGAGTACTGTTTTCCTTTCGAGATTTACGGGCCCTTCCTGTGCTGCTCGAGACTGGATCCGATTCTGTTGCTCCTTTGAACTCACGTGCATCCGAATCATCTGTCTTCTGTTTAGTAAGTGCTTTGACCTGTACTTGTCTGTTCTTGCCTTTCTTATTCTCTGTCTTCTTAGAGGGCTGACATTTAGAGACAGTAATTGAAGGAAGGTTTTTTTTTGATTTTTTCTTCTTATGGGGTATAGAAATCCAAGAATTACAAGATGCATCATATGAATCATCAATTAAAAATTCACATTCGTTTTCTATTTCTATTTCCTGATCTGTCACAAGAGGAGGTGATGGTGGTGATATTGAGGATGAATACCTAAAGAAAGGCAGGACAAATTTTCACATCATTTGGGGGGGGGGGAAATTAACTTTCAATCTTGCAAATCTAGTGGTGACTGCAGAACACCTAAACATGCTACAGCACATTCCTTGGAAGAATTATTATAAAAGTCATCACTCATTGCCCTTTAGCTTCCAGAAGTAGAGCAAGGCCTGCTTCTCCTTGCTTTGGCCTGACAGTCACACCTTATTGTTTTTCAGATGCTGGACAGTAAACTTCCCATCTAACTGATGAGATCCATACTAGCTCTGAAGAAGACCACTTGACCACTGCTATCTTCAGAATCAAGTAAGGTTCTTCTGTATCCTCCAGCCTACTTATCAAAACATCTCAGTCTTGACCTGAAACACTCAAGAGCTCAATACCAATCTACTGGCAGACAAAAGCAACAGCACTGTTAAAACCGAACAGCACAAAACTTTGAAATAACTACTCAGGCCCTTTCTCAAGTGGCATTTTTAGTAATGCTGGATTATCCCAGATCATTCCCATAGACTAGGTTTATAGACAAAAGGATGTTGCTCCAGCACTCAGGACTCGGTTATTTTACTAGCAAACTGTGTTCCGTATTAAGCCTCAAACCAAACCTTTTTCCAAGCTTTCCTGTTGCTACAGCTGCTAAGACAGCTGAAGAGAAAGACTTCTCTTTCTGTACGGAAGACGCAGCAGTATGTTCTGTTCCTTGCAGGAGAACAGCCTGTTCAGCTCTCCCAGCCTGAGGTGATTCCCCATTTTTAACTTCCACACGGCTCTTCACTGCAGGAGGAGTATTTTGGCCATCAAAACGTAACCTGTGTATGAGGAACAGCATTCAAATACCACACAAATTCTAGGCACACATTAAAGTCTCATGGGGATGGACAGATGGTCTCATTTTCTCCTGTCTCACTTCTTACGAATGAGCTTCCATTTAATAATCTGCTCTAACACAGGTTAGCAGTACTACTTCCCAGCATAGCAGCATGTGTCCAAATCAGCTGGGCAACATAGGGTCGGCCTGTGACTCTTGATGAAGGTGAGAGCTGCTCAGCAAGCCAAATTCCTAACTTTAGGACAACACGTTTCAGAACTCACCGGGTTTCCTAGACACTAGGCACATTCTCTTCCCAATCTCACCCCACCAGTGGGAGTCGACAGATCAGTGTCAGTGTTCCTATAATCCACCACAGAGATTCAGTTCTCCAGGAAAGCAGAACTGCATCTGACCTCTGGCCACTTCTGCAGTTGGGCTTCAGATTTTCCAAAAAGAAGATAATGGTCACAAGTGAAGTTGTTCTACTTTGTAGAAAATATTTGCACATTCAGAGTGAGAGGAACAATGACTGCTCATATCTGCTTAACAAAACTTTTATTAACTCTTCACAGAATCACAGAATGGTTTGGGTTGGAAAGGACCTTAAAGATCACCCAGCTCCAAACCCTCTGCCATGGACAGGGATACCTCCCACTAGAATACATTGTTCAAAGCCTCATCCAACCTGGCCTTGAACACCTCCAGTGATGGAGCATCCCCAACTTCCCTGGGCATCCTATTCCAATGTCAACACTGTCTAGGCTATCTGAGAAGCTGATAATCTAGGGCACTTTCCTGCAAAAAAGGAGTTCAAATCTATTCTGACAGGCCTCCTGGGTGAAGTGTAGAAAAGCTTAACTTTTGGGAATTAACCAGAATATTTAACAAGAAATAATTTTGCCCTTCCTTAAATGCAGGTATGTTATTTTTCTAAAACATATGAAATTATTTTTATGAGCCCACAATCATAATTTCAAACTCATGAGTGACTGAAACCCCATGTCAGTTTACCATCAGAGGTGTGGCAGAGGATGGGATGGACACACCACCACCACCACCTTCAGCTCTACTTACACAGGCCCAGGAGAACTCGCCTCCTTCACAAGCAGTGATGATCCAACAGCCCCATTGTCATCCTCAGAGTCCAAAGGCATGGCAGGACTTTGGCACAGTGTCTCAACAGCTTTTAGTATATTATTTGTTTCTCTCTTAGACACAGGAGACTCTGTTTTCTTAGAAATGGCTACACAGTTATGTACTGCAGGCGTTTGGAGTGATTCACATGACCTTCCTGCTGTATATAAAGAATAGGTTTAATTCTTGTACTCAAAACCTTACAAAAATCCCAAGAAATAGTTACCCAAAATAACCTTAATTCAATAACAGTGCTACCAACCTTTGCTGCTGGTGGTTGTTTTTAATGGTGATGCAGGTGAGGATTCTGCATAATTACAGGCCTTCTTCACTGAGTTAGTTAACCCTGCCTTTGGCTGTCACAGTCAGTAGTGAATAATGAGACAAAGTAAAACATTTGAAAAAGCAGCAGTATTTTGACAGAAATATAAATTTCTACAGAACACAATAAAATTTCCTTCCCTTAATTCTTATCAGTTGAAGTACAGCACTATTTTAGCCACACACTTCAATTTTCTATCATGTAAGACTTTCTAAAACTAACTGTAAATTTCAAACAACAGGTAAAATAGTGAATACAGTAAAAAATCCATCTCCAGCTTTGAACAGCCCTCCTGCTAGTCCACAGGCAAGCTTAGAATAATTTATTTTAAACAATTTAACCCACCTCTGTTAAGTCAGACAGAGGATTTGCACAAATTACTTTGAGATCATGTGATATTCTAACATCAGACTAAAGTAAACAAACACCATTATATTGTTCTTGACATCCTATAGACTATCCTATTTAAAAAACAAACAAACAAACAAACAAACAAAAAAAAAAAAAAAAAAAAAAAAAAAAAAACAACTAGAATCAAAATATTAAAACTAAATATACTAATTAGATTATTGGCATTGCTCTCTCAGCACATTAGTAAGTCCTTCAACTTGTTTCCACTCTGAAAATTACATATATGCAATTTTATTGTGCAGATAACTGTTGGTGAGGAGTTGACAAGTTCTTTTTTTAGGAGAATCACCTTCCAATTTTTACTACCCATCAGATAATTAAGAACTGTGCCCATATATCTGGTAAAGTGACTGAAACCAACCCCAGTGGAGTCCCAGACAGTCACACCCAGCACAAGACTAAGGTCTCTGAGACCATGAGAAATTTTACTAACCTGGACAAAAAGCTGAAAAAGCTTTCAACAGCAAAAATTTTAAAAATGAGCTATTAAATAAATGTTGCTATACAATATTTACTATTAGAGCACAACAAATCAAGAAAAAATATTACCGACTCCTACAGAAGGTTAAATTAAAGCCCATGTACTAATACAAGGGACATATGGAGCTTATTCGTCCAACACTCAGCCCTAAATCCCACAGAACTGAACCTGTACCCAAGTGAAACTGTGCCCAGTGCTGCACTGTGACACTGCTGCAGCTGCCTTACCCTTTCGCTCCCTAACAAAGCCAGGTTGCTTCCAACAACAGGAGTCGAGCAGTGGCTTCCACAGGGGGAGCTTATGGTAAGATCGCTGCCACAACCTATACAGAAAGAATCATAAATGAGGACTTTTGGAACTGTACAGATTTCATTTAGTTTAACATTTAATTAACCTTTAATTTAGGTTGTTAAGGTCACATAGACCTAAACAAGAGAGAACCCAGGCACTCAGGAAAAAAATCACTTTTATAAGACAGCCAAGACCCAGTTTTAGGTGGCTGGGAAGGGGGTGCTTTTAAAGACTGAGAGAAAGACACTATTTTTGTCCATTTTATCTCTATTTTTTAAATTTCTATTTATTTACCACTAAATATAATACAAGGAATAAATTATTTTTTTCCTTTAACCAGCAAATTAAGCAAAAAAGCTTACTTTCAAAACAATCCTCCACGAGTTTCAGTATGTTTTGACCTGGCTGTACATCTATTTTCTTTCTAGAAAGAAGAGGGAGGGAAAAAAAAAGTTAATTCTATGAAAAACAATAAACATTCCTATCCCAGCAATATCCAAGTAGTAAAGTTTTCACTACTTAATATTTCAGGTTATTTCCACTAGTCTCAACTTTAACATATTTTACTCACCATTTTTTTTTGTGAAAAAACTTCTCTACATAAGGATTCCAGGAAAAAAAAGCCCCATTGCCACAGAATATGAGGATGAAGAAATCTCTGTACACTAAATAAAATGTACAGCTACTGCAACAGACTTCAGGTAAACAAGCTTTGGGATGAACAAAGAGTCTCACTTAAATTTTTTTTTTTAAAAAAATCAGTCCTGCAGTAATGCCACCTGCAGAGTAGATGTGTAGGCTGCACACCCATCCCTGCACACAAGGAGTCACCCTCTGCTTCTCTTTCTACCACTTATCCACAGTTATTCTGGGCTATTGCAAAAATTTCAGCAGCAAGAACTAGCTTGAGGTAACACACCCATCAGCAAGCAGACAGCTCAGCTGCTGGGACTACTATTCAGAACCTCCTCAGCACAAATGAAAATGGCAGAAGCGAGACTGCCAGACTACTTTGAGCAAAACAAGAGAAAAGGCCATGCAATATTCCTCCCAAAATGATTATTGTATGCCTTTAAAAAGAGGTAATTTGGTAGATTCGTTAAGCTCATTAAATGTATGTCTAAAGACGGATAGCAGCAACAAAATATTCATGGACTTCTGAGATGCCTCTGAAGCAAGCTGCAGATACTCAAACTCATCACTATCATCTACCAGCAAGGGCCTTCACATTAAGTTCCCAGACAAAAATAAATTGTTTTCCAAACAATTGCATCTAAGAGTAAAATTTTAAATGCAAGTTACCCTTCTCCGTGGCAGAATCTTGCTCTGTAGTCTTTTTTAAAATGATTCTGTGAAGACATAAGAATCCATTTTTAATAAGCATAGTGACTCGACAGAAAAACAAATGACCTCCTGTTCCTCATGCAAGCAAGTCTTGTGGATTCTCGATCCATCCCGAAACTAGGGGAAGTTACTGGAGCCATGTTTTTCTCAGAATGCTGCAGTAGCTACCACCTCTGTAAAAACTGCCAGAAATTCAGCTTTGCTCAGGAACCAGCAAGCACACGTTGCATTTCAAGTCAGAGGAACTTACAGGAGACTTACATGACAAATCAGACAAATCGAACTATTTGGTTAACATTTCCATGCTGACGACAGAAAGAAGCTGATTTTAAGAAAAAGGAGTGAACTATCACCAAGCAAGCTGGTATTTAACAAGATATCCACTGCTCTGTGACAGCTGCTTGCATGGACATTCCTATCCCGAAGCAAAACTAACGTCTCCATTAACTCCCAACACTTCCCCACATACCTGAACCCCAAGTGTAATCAAAATCTTTTGAACAGCAAATGTGACTCAAGTCACCTATCACCACAACTACAGGAGTAATATTTGGAACAACAGCCTACTATCAGCACTGCTTTTGACAGCAACAAATGAAATAAAGTCTATTGAGCTAGAAACAGGCAAAGACTGTAGAGGATATAAACAGGAAGGTAGGGCGAGTCAAGAAAAGTTAGGGGAGCTAAGCAACTTGTAGGTTTTCACCTATGGGATATGAAAATGTCTCCAAAAAATTGTAAATGTTTAGCTGAAAAACAGCTCATTTATGTCAACTGCAATAGACTGTATGTGCAGTGTGGAGATTAGTTGTAATAAAACCGAATTCAGTGCATTTTCCCGAAGTCTGCCATACTGATGTTATTTTGCACTTCTTCTGCAATTCTTCTTTGGATATTATTTTTGGTAATAATAATGAACAAAACCACATAAAGATTTATTCCACCGCAAACTTTCAACGTCAGCCTAAAACAACGGGGAGAAACTCCAAGTCACAGAGGAAAAAGCCCAATCGAAAGCCACCACTTCAGAAACAGTGCAGAGCCATGCTCCATAGCTAATCAGTCACTCAGCCTTAAACTTCCTCGCCTTGCAGGAGAGTGCAGCATAGTCAAGTGACAAGAAATCTTTCACAGAAGAAATGAAAAATTCCTGTAATGGATCTGAAGACCTTTGAGCTGTTTGTTGATTGTTATGCCCACGTCTCGCTGCACATCATCAGCTTTTCAGCCGTGAGCTCCCGGCGCACGCCAGGAGGCCCGGCGCGCCTCTATCGCCTCTCCACAAGGCACTGGTTCTTTACACCCTCAGCCGTGACAGGAAGCTCTTCGGAGACCAGCGCTGGGCACGGCCGCAGCCCACCAGAGGGAAACGCGTCTCCCAACAGAACAGCCCTCCGAGCAGAGACGGTCGCGCCGGCGGCCGAGACCAGGAGGGAGGGCAGAGCAGCAACAGCTTCCCGCGGGGACGCCCTGAGGGAGAGGCCGCCCCTGAGAGGGCAGTGAGGAGAAGGCCGCGGCCCCACCTTTTAGCGAGGGGATCGGCCGCGGCGCCCAACGCCGTGCGGCACCCAACG